TCTTCCTGGAAGAACTAGTAAGGGAAAAAAGAGAACCCAGAAGAAAAGATGTGGTTAAAAGTAGCAAGAGATAGATGCAGTTTATTCAGGAATTTGTGTACTGACTGGAAAAAAGAAGTAACTTTTGGCATGTTTTAAAGAAGGCCTCAAGTAAAATTATAAACAAAAGTTGAAAGAACAATAGGAAGAGAAGAATGCAATGGATAAATTATACTTTATTGTTTTACTTTTATCCTCCAGCCCCCCCAAAGAGAATAATTTTAAAGTTTGTTGGAAAAAAAACATAAATATATATATTAGGAGATTCAGAAATACAATCTGTAGCTCCCAAACTAGTAGAGGGGGAATAAAGAACAAGAAAACAAAACCAAAAATATCTACAAATGTTAGATGGGCAGGGTGAAGCACACCTGTGATCCCACCACTTGGGAGGCTGAGGAAGGAGGATCGTCATGCGTTTGAAGCCAGCCAGGGCTACATAGTGAGTTCAAGGCCAGCTTGAACTACCTAGTGAGACTCTAGCTCAACAAACAAACAAATAATCCCCAAACCTCCACAACTGTATTCAACAGAAGGTAGGACACCGCATGCCGTGCTGGCCTCACCTCTGGGGTACGCTGAGACTGGGACTGAGACTGGGCGTGGTGGTGCACACCTGTAATCCCAGCGCTTGGGAGGCTGAAAACACGAGGATCACTACTTGAGTCCCATCTGTGAAGTGAGACCCTGTAGACCCTGTAGTAAATACATTAAAAAACCAAAACCAACAAACAAAAACACCACCTCAGCCTAGTTGATGAGAAAGAGGGCAGGACGCCCAGGCCCAGTAGTCATGGACAGGTACTTAGGAATACAGCCTTAAATTTAAAAAGCAGAATCTGACATACATATAAAGAGAAGCTGCTGGGTATAGAGGTACGTGCCTATAATCCCAGCCACAATCCCAGCTGAAGTGTGAAGCAGGCAGATTGCAAGATAGCCCAGGCCATTTAGCACATCTGTCTCAAAGTCAAATAGAGAAAAGAACCAGGGGTGTTAGCCCAAGGGTAGAATACTTGCCTAGGATTTGTCATGCTTGGGGTTTGATACTCAGTACAACAATAACAACAGCAGCAGCAGTAGTGGTGGGGTGGAGGATAGACAAGTACTCAGAGTGAGAGATTTTTGTTACCATCTTTCAGAAAATAATGAGTCAAGCAGTCCAAAAATTGCAAGAATATAGAAGATTTATATAATACAATCCGTGTGTGTGTGTGTGTGTGTGTGTGTGTGTGTGTGTGTGTGTGTGTTTGAGACAGTATCTGCTATGCAGTCCAGGCTAGCCTTGAGCTAACTTTGTAGCTCAGGCTGCTCTCGAACTTGCAGCCATCCTCCTGCCTCAGCCTCCTGATTGCTGGGATTACAGGCATGCGCCACTACGCCTGGCCTCAAAGAGAAAATTTGATTTTTTAAAAAATGTATCAGTTATTTAATTAGATTCTTAGTAAGAAATTTAGAATACTAATTTATGAGGATAAATTCCACTTGTCAGCAAAAACGGATTGCAGGTAACCCCAGAGCTGAGGAACAGCTTTTAGTTTTGCTAAAATCTGTGAGTCCACCACTTTCTGATCCATCCTGCGCTGCTCTGAAATCTGGTATCTCTCTTTCTCGGTGTCAAAGATCTCGCCCTCCTGGTGTCTGGGCTTCCGCAGCTGCTGCTTCTTGAAGTAAGAATCAGTGAGGTATTTGGGGATTTTCGCTTTGCTGATGTCAATTTTTGTAGAGGTGGCCATGCCAAATTTCTGGTGTGTTCTTCATAGAGGAACACGATTAAGGCTCAGAGGCCCAGTCACAGGTAGCAAGCCACTGGCCAACTGCTTCAGGAAGGCCACTCTCTTGGCTCTGTGACGCCCGGTGAGGATGATCAAGATGGTTCCAGGAGTGATGCTAGCTCGAAGTTTCCGCACATGCTGACTGAAGGGTTTCTTGCTGTGGCTCAAGAGCTTGCGGGGCACGTCTTCAGTAGGGTAGTACCTAGGCATTTTTCGAAGCTTAACCACCCGGCTCCCTCCATTCTTGTCCCCACCGACTGGTTTTGTGATGGTAGCAAGAACTTTCTCCTTTTTCTTTTCAACCTTTGATTTAGCAGCTGTGTACTTTCTTTTGTACAGTCTTTCTGGAATACATAGCACATAGGGAGTATCTACCAATTCCTCTAAGCAGGACAGAATTTTAGCTGCAGTGAGGCTGTCCTTTCTTGAACTTTTTTGCCTTTACCTTACCTTTTTTACCAGTACCACTGGCAGAAGCCTTTTTGGCTTCAAGTTTCTTCTCTTTAGTGTCTGGCTTCTCCATTTTTTCACTCACCATCCTGCAAGATGGGAAAGAGAACTAAGTTTCCTTGATCTTGTAATTTATATTCCTATTCTCAGCAAGAGAAAAAAATCCTTTTAAGCCCACATATACAATGTGAAAAGTAAGTAAATAAAAGGTCCATGTATTAATTTAACAAATTTCAAATAGTATCATGTAGATTATAGTCCCTAAATATAAGACAACTAATTGATAAATCGACAACTACAGTACTGAAGGAAACAAATTTCATATTAAAACTTCATATTAAAATTTAACCCTCACCTCTAGACAGTTCCTGGGATAAAGAAGAAATCACAAAAGAACTGAGAAAATATTTAGAACTCAATGACAGTAAAAATACTCCCTACCAAAATGTGTGGGATGTAGGAAGAATGGTACTTACAGGGAGATGCGTGGCTCTCGGTGCATTTGTAAAAAAGGAGAAAGAGTAGATGTGTATGCATGCAAGCTGGAAAGTTAGAAAAGAATACAAGAAACTTGAAGAAAATAAAAGGAAATTTTACAAAAATGAAAAAAGTGAGGGAAAGCAAAAATAAACAGTGGAGACAATCAACAAAACCAAAAGCTGAAAGAACTAATAGCCAAACCTTGAGCTAAAGACTAATTAAGGAAAACCAAAAGGATGCAAATAATATTAAGCAATAAAGGAAAGGACATACTACTAATAATGATCGAATCCTAAGAGAGAACAAAAACCAACTTTGATTCAATGCATTTGATGGATATTTTTATAGAAAAAACTTAAATCACCAAAGGTGATTCAGGTGGAAATAGGAAACCTAAACATTCACCACTACAGAACTGTAAAGTAGTCGTCGTTGTTTCTTCTTCTCCTCCCCCTTCCTTCTCTTCTTCCTCCTCCTTCTCTTCCTCTCCCTCCTCCTCCTCCTTCTTTTGGTACAAGGTCTGCAGGGTCTACAGGGTCTTACTACATGGATTGGACTCATAGTGATTCTCTTGTTTTCAGCCTCCCAAGCTCTGGGATTACAGGCACACACTACCCTGCCCAGTATCAATTGCCATCTCAGCATGCCCCAGGGGTGGGGTTGGCACACTGGGGATTGAACTCTGGCCACTGTGCTCTGCTTAAGCAGGTGCTTTAGTCCGCTGAGCTATCTGGCTGGCCCTGTAAGGTATCTTCTTCTTCTTCTTTTTCTTTTTCTTTTTCTCCTTCTTCTTCTTCTTCTTCTTCTTCTTCTTCTTCTTCTTCTTCTTCTTCTTCTTCTTCTTCTTCTTCTTCTTCTTCTTCTTC